CTGCCCCAGATGACCATCTCTGAGAGGAGGACCAATGGGTGCAGTGCATCCCTGGGCAGCCAAAAAGGTGTCCTGGCCCGCCTCCTCCTTCACCAAAGGGGGTTACCAGGACTTCGTGCCCACTAGGGATGACAGACATAGGGCCCAAGGCCTCATAGCTCTGCAAGGCCCACAGAAATGTCAGACTTGGGAAAAAATGCATTGACTCCAAAAGTGCAGGAAAAATAAAAACTACCAAAATCAAGTAGTTCATCAAAATCAACAATTCATTTCCTTTTTTTTTTTTTTTTTTTTTTAAAAAAAGGGGTTTTTTTTTTTTTTCTTTTTTTTTTTTTTTTTTTTTTTAAGAGACAGGGTTTCACTATGTTGGCCAGTCTGGTCTTGAACTCCTGACCTCGTGATCCACCTACCTTGGCCTCCCAATCCCAAAGTGCTGGGATTACAGGCATGAGCCACCACGCCCAGCCTCAACAATTCATTTCAAAAGCAATATTAAAAATTTCATGGGCCACGTGCATTGGCTTACACTGGTAATCCCAGTCTTTGGGAAGCCAAACTGGGAGGGTCATTTGAGGCCAGGAGTTCAACACTGTGTCTCTACCAAAAAAAAAAAAAAAAACAGGCTGGAGTACAGTAGTAGTGTGATCCTGGCTCACTGCAACCTCAATCTCCCAAGCTCAACTGATTCTCCTGCTTCAGTCCCCAAAGTAGCTAGGACTACAGGCATGTGCCACCATGCCTGGCAGATTTGTTTGTATTTTTTTTTGTAGAGATGGGGTTTGCCATGTTACCCAGGCTGGTCTCAAACTCCTGAGCTCAAGTCATCTACCTGCCTCAGCCTTCCAAAGTGCTAAGACTACAGGTATGAGCCACCATGCTAGGACTACAGGTATATACCGCCACACCCAGCTACTTGTTAAAAAGAAATTTAATTTCTCTATAATCAGGAGGCTGAGGCAGGAGGATTTCTCTTTTTATTATTTTTATTTTTTTTTAGAGATGGGGTTTCACCATGTTGGCCAGGCTGGTCTTGAACTCCTGACCTCAGGTGATCCGCCCGCCTCAGCCTCCCAAAGTGCTGGGATTAGAGGCGTGAGCCACCGCACTCGGCCTCAGGAGGATCTCTTAAGTCCAGGAGTTTGAGGTTACTTTGAGGTATGATTGCAGCACCACACTCCAGCCTAGGCAACAGATAGAGACCCTGTCTCCAAAAAATAAAAATAAAATAAAATAAATTAAAATCATACATGATATGGGATGCTTTTAGTATGATTTGTGATGGGGGTGGGGAGAACTCCCATAGTCATTTATAAAACCTAAGTTCTTAAAATGGCCAGAAGGTGAGTTCCTTTATGGTTGGGGACAGGAGGGCAGGAAGGCACCTGCATTCATTTAGCACCTACTGAATGCTAGACACTGCACCACACACTCTATTCATGCAGGCTCACAACAACATTATGAGATGCATCCTAAGATGTACTCATTTTACAGATGAGGAAACTGAGTGAGTGAGTGGCAGACTGAGGATTCTGAGCACATCGGAATGGAAATGATCACTGTGTACTTTACTCTGCCACCACCTACCAGCATGACCTTGGAGATATAAACAGGTGTTCCTTGACTTATGATGGGGCTATGTCCTGGAAAATTGAAAATATCATAAAGCAAAAATGCATTCAACACATCTAACCTACTAAAGAGCATCACAGCTAGCCCAGTCAACTTTAAAGGAGCTCAGAACACTTACATTAGCCTTCAGTTAGGCAAAATCATCTGACGGAGACCTATTTTATAATAAAGTGTTGACTATCTCTTGCAATGTATTAAATACTGAATTGAACATGAAAAACAGAATGGTTGTATGGCTTGAAATGTGTTTTCTAATCAATGTCTAAGGCTTTTGTACCATCATAAAGTAGAACCATCATAAGTCAGGGACCATCTGTGTGTATGGCTCCTTAAATTTTTACAGTACTTCATAATGTACCTGTATGATCTCACTTAGCCATCACATTTAATCTCTCCTCTGCTATCATCCCTATCTTATAAATAGTAAAATAAAGGCTGCAGGTCACATAGGTATTCAAAGCCAGGACCACAGGTAGGACCTAAGTTTTCTGGCTTCAAGCAGTAGGTTATTTCTGTAAGGACATACATGAAACTTGCAATCAGGGATGGCTGATTTTGAATCCTGGCTCTTCCATACAGGCAGGGGCAACTTGAGCAAGGGATTTTTGGAGCTGAGTCTCAGTTTCCTCATCTATAAAACGAGGATTAGAATGCACCCAGCAAGGGGATGGTTGTGATGCAGAGCAGGTGAGCCCCAAAGTGGAGTTTAGCCCATGAGGGTTCTTGGCTTTGCCCAGGAAAGAATTCAAGGGCAAGCTTGAGGTTGAAGGAAACAGCTTTGTTGAAGGGTGATGTTACAGCCCCATGACGGCTCCTGCAGAGCAGGACTACCCCATAAGCATAGAGTGGCAGCTCAGGGCAGTTTGGCAGTCACATTTATACCCACTTTTAATTGCCTGAAGATTAAGGGGCAGTTCATGCAGAAATTTCTAGGGAAGGGGTAGTAACTTTTAAATCACTGGGTCACTGCCATGGAAAGGGACAATAACTCCTGGGTGTTGCCATAGCAAAGGTAAATTGACATGGCACACTGCTGAGTGTGTTTGAATGAAAACTGCTTTTGCTCAGGCCCTGTTTTAGCTAGTCCTCAATCTGGTCCGTTGTCAAAGCCCCACCTCTGGAGTCCAGTCCCACCTCCTGCCTCACTTGTGTGGGTGAAATCATTCTCTTACACAGAACACCTGGCTGTGGGGCGAACAAGGGAGCCTTAAGGCTCATTCCCTGGGTCACACTGCCCTTCAGGCCTCTGTTTCCTCAAGTATAAGATGAAAGTACCGAACAGAGGTTCCCTGAAGGCCCTCCCAGTTCTGACTCCTGTGATTCAGTGGCTTTTGTCTGTTATTGTTTATAACCCACACCACACAATGATCTTAGTCCCTATTTCAGTCCTTTGCTACTGAGGCTCAGCATTAGCCCCAAAACACAATTGTAATTCGTCCTCTGTAAACAGAGGCCCTTCAAAACCCATGAAGTTCATTTGTTAAAACCAACATTTATCTGACCCCCTACAGGGATGACCCTCTGCTCACAATACCTCCACAGCTCCAGAGGTAGGTGTTACCATTCCCACCCATTACACCCTGGTCCTGCTCCCTTAGCCCTGGGCTGGCCTTCCTGGGAATGTTTTCCTACCAAGCTAACCCACAAGGGAAGAACCTGTCTGCTTCTCTGGAGTTAGAAGCTGAGAAAGGAGTGAAATATTGCACAGGACATGTGTGGGAGGAGAAGGAGACAGCAAGTTGGCGCCCACCCAAGCTCCTGGCTAAGGAAAGTGGAGGCAGAAACCCAGCAGTTTAATGCAAAGCAGGGATGATCTGTCTGATCCCCTGTCTCAGAATCCACCTGTGCTTCAGGAAGACACGTGGAGTCGGAAAAACCTTATGGGTACTGCGGAATTCCTTTTAAATTTACTTTTGTTTTAAAATTACAGATGTATACATTCCAGCAAGTTTGGACAAAAGAGAAAAAAATAGTACTTTTAAACCCCACCATCCCAAGAGGACATGAAGCATAGTACAGCCAGGCACAGGCTTTGTCCTGCCACTTCCTAGATGGGAGATCTTCAGCAAGTGCAGTGTTCCCCCTGAGACTCATTTGCCTCATCTGCAAAATGGGTATAATGATATTAGCACCTACTTCAAAGGGGCTCTAAAAGAGGATATTTTTCTTTCATTTTCTTTCTTTTTTTTTTTTTTTGAGACAGGGTCTCACTCCTATCACCCAGGCTGGGGTGCCGTGGCACCATCACAGCTCACTGCAGCCTCAACCTCCCAGGCTCAGGTAATTCTCCCAGCTGAGTCTCCCAAGCAGCTGGGACTACAGGTGCCCACTACCACATCCAGCTAATTTTTGGTATTTTTAGTAGAGCCACGGTTTTGCTATGTTGCCCAGGCTGGCCTCAAACTCCTGGACTCAAGCAATCCACCCTCCTTGGCCTCCCAAAGTACTGGGACTACAGATGTGAGCCACTGCGTCTGGCCTCAAGGGTCCTTTTAGACATAAAGAAGTCAGAATACATTACACCTGTGCCTAGAACCCTCCAATGACGTCCCATTTCACCCTGACCAAAAGCCTGAGTCCTTCCTATCTACAGCCACAGGGAAAGAAAAATGTCTGAGTCCTCAAGAGAGCCTTCGAGGCTATCCATGGGCTGGGACCTACCCACCCTCCAACCTCATCCCCCGCACCTGCCAACCCTGCTCCAGCCACGCAGGCTTCCTTGCTGTTCCTCATGCACATCACTTGTGTGTCCACCTCAGGCCCCGTGCACTGTCCTCTCTTCCTGTAATGTTCTGGACACCCACATGGCTCCCTGACTTGCTGCCTGGGGGCTCCACTTGAATGTCACCTGATTTGACAGTTCTCTGGCGGCCTTATAAGTATCCCCTCCCCACACCTTGCGCTTCCTGTTCTACTTTATTTTCTCCATAACACTTATCATCTCCTCCAGTGCTACGTATTTTATTTGTTCATGTGGTTTTTTTCCCCCAGATAAAGGAATTCTTCATTAGGACCAGGACTTTGTTTTCTTCTCTGATATATCCCTGGCTCCTAGAATAACGCATGGTACAAGGAAGGCCCTCATTTGTTGAATGAGTTCACGAATCTTTCCTGCCACCTCCTACCTCTAACAATTAGCTGGCTCTAAAATACCCAGACCTCTTTGCAAAGTTGGTGTCCCTCCCTGGCCAGCTATCGCCTCCACTGAAAATCTTCAGCCTCAAATGGCACCCGCCAAGACCCACTAGCTCTCCCCACCCTGTCTCCCTGCCCTAGCTCCTGCCTTGCTATCTTTAGAAGCACCTCCAAACTTGCTGCGAGCAGCTTCCAGCAGCCTCACAGTTCATAGTACAAAACAAAGGGTGCTGTACCTGGTTCAGCCCTGGCACCTCCGAAGTAGGCCAGGAAAATCAGCCAAGTGAGCAGCCTCATCCTCGGGGCTCACTTCACCAGAGCCGTGGAATTCTCCAGGAGCTGTCTGTTGTTCACACCGCAAGCTTCCCAAGTAGATGTCTGTGGCCACGTGCCTGAGCAGAACACCCTGTCCTGTTACCAGTGTTCCAGGTCCTCTAAGGCGTCTGGCTCCTCTGGCTTTTCCTCCTTTGCCCAGCAGGTTGTGATCTGAGCTGGCCCAAGGAGGCAGGTGTCTGGACCCTTAAGTGGAAGCCACACCTGTCCTGCCAGTGCAGCCCCTGCCCCCAAGAGGGAGGGGCAAACCACAGGATTACAGGTCAGCAAGTCAGGTGAATCGGCCAGCCCTGGAAAGGGGGATCTCACTCAGACTGAGGAATGTGAGAGGACTTCTGGGAGGAAGTGACACAGGTTTAATCCTTTCTTAACATTTTTTTTTTTTCCTTCAAGGCTGAAAATCAAAACATTGTATAATGAAAACTGTCAAACTGAAACAGGAGAGAGAATGGTGTAATGAACCCCCATGTACCTTCCTCCAGCTAGAGCAATTATGAATTTATGCCCAATCTTACTTCATCTATACTTCCATTTAATTATCTTAACAACTTTTAAAAAAAATTTTATTATTTTAACATTTATTTATGGGTTTTTTTGGTTTGTTTTGAGACAGAGTCTCACTCTGTTGGCAGGCTGGAATACAGTGGTGTAAGCTCAGCTCATTGCAATCTCCGCCTCCCAGGTTCAAGCAATTCTCCTGCCTCAGCCTCCCAAGTAACTGGAACTACAGGCGCATGCCACGACGCCCAGCTAATTTTTGTATTTTTAGTACAGATGGGGTTTCGCCATGTTGGCCAGGATGGTCTTGATCTCTTGAACTTGTGGTCTGCCCTCCTTGGCCTCCCAAAGTACTGGGATTATAGGTGTGAGCCACCACACCAGGCCTATTTATGTATTTTTTTAGAGAAGGGGTCTCAGGCCTCATGCAGTGGCTCATGCCTGTTATCCCAGCACTTTGATAGAATAAGGCAGGAAGATCACTTGAGCCCAGGAGTTCAAGACCAGCCTAAGCAACATAGGGAAACCCCATCTCTACAAAAAATATAAAATTAGCTGAGTGTGGTAATACGTGTCTATAGTCCACCTACTTGGGAGGCTGAGGCAGGAGGATCCCTTGAGCCCGGGAGGTGGAAGTTGCAGTGAGCCTGAGTGACAGAGCAAGACTCTGTCTCAACAAAAAAAAAAAAAAAAAGAGGGGGTCTTGGGGGATGTGTCTCACTCTGCCACCCAGGCTAGAATGCAGTGGCAGGATCATAGCTCACTATAGCCTCAACCACCTGGGCTCAAGCTATCTTCCCGCCTCAGCCTCTGGAGTAGCTGGAACTATAGGCACTCACTATCTCGCCCAGCTAATTTTTTTTTTTTTTTAGAAATAGCATCTCACTATTTTACCCAGGCTGGTCCCAAACTCCTGGCCTCAAGTGATCCTCCCACCTCAGCCTCCCAAAGCACTGGGCTTACAGGTGTAAGCTACAATACCTGGCCCCCACTGTATTATGTTAAAGTAAATTCCAGTGACCATATCATTTTGAACATAAATAGTATATATCTCTAAAAGACAAGGATTCTCTTTTTCTAACACATCATCAGATCTAAAAAAAAACAGTCATTCCTTACTTCCACCAGATATGTGGTCAATGTTCAAATTTCCCTGATGTCTCTCTTTTTTTTTTTAATGGGTTCTTTCAAATCAGGGTCTAAACAAGGTCCACACATTGCATTTGGTAGATGTGTCTCTTCAGTTTTCCTTAATTTGTAGCTCTCCTGTCCTCTCTCTATTTACCCTGTTCTTTGTCCTATGAATTTCCCACATTCTGAAGGATTTGGCTGATTCCTTCCTGGTGGTGCATTTAACATATTCCTCTGTCCACCATATTTCCTGTGAACTGGTAGTTACAGCCAAGGATTTGATGACATTCAGGTTTGACTTTTTGGGAAGAAGATTTCTCAGGTGGTCTTGGGTCTTTCCTGTTGCTTTGCATGGCAAAGCACATAAGATATGGTTTTCACCAGCTTAACCTTAATTTACAAGTAGGAGTTAGCAGGAAAGGGGGCAAGTTGGGGAGGAGGGTATCCCAGGCAGAAAGAGCTGAAACATCCCAGAGAGCTGAGTTGGGTGACATTGGGCTTGGGTGCTAAGGCTGGGGAAGCATGCAGGAGCCAGGCTGTGCTCAGCTGTTTGAGCTGAGAGCTGTGGGAAGCTATGGCAGAGATATAACCTAATTTGCATTTTAGAAAGATTGCACTGCGTCTGTGGAAGATGGACTTTCAGGAAGACCAGCAAGGAGGCTGAGGCAGGGAAGTTGTCATTGTCCATTTTATGCTACTACAGAATACCTGAGACTGAGTATTTCAAAAAGAACAGAAATATATATTGGCTCACAGTTCTGCAGGCTGGAAAGTATAAGATCAAGGCGTCAGCAGGCTGGGTGTCTGGTGAGGCCATTCACTTTTTCCAAGATGGTGCCTTGCAATCTGCATCCTCTGGAGGGAGAAAGGCTGAGTTCTCATATGACATGTCTTGGCAAAAGGGCTAAGACAAAAGAAGGCCAAACTTTCCCTTTTATAATAGCATTAATCCCACTCACGAGAGTGAAGCCCTGATGGTCCAATCACCTCCCAAAGGTCCAACCTCCCAACACCTCCATAATGGTAACCAATTATAACACGAGTTTTAGAGTGAACAAACATTCAAACCATAGAAGAAGTCTTGATGAAAAGCTGTAAGGGGTGATGCTTAGGAACTTGTAACTAGTGGTACGGAGGAACTGAAGAGACTGTAGATGGGTAATTAGTTGAGTAGTTCCTGTTCTAACTGTAATTTTAAACCCCATTCTAAGTAGCTACCAAAGCTCTCTTCCCTTGGAGGAGAATGTGGCAGGGTAGAAAGTCACAGCTTCTTGGACACAGCCACCTCCAGGGTGTGTCTCTGATCTCCTAGAGGGGGTCATGAAAGGAGGGAGGGAACAGTGGTAAGAGAGGGGAGACTGGCATATCCAGGGCAGCAGGGAGATGTTGCTGGGTCTTAAGAGTCCAGGTTGCCATGGAATATTATGCAGCCATCAAAAACGATGAGTTCGTGTCCTTTGCAGGGGCATGGATGAACCTGGAAACCATCATTCTCAGCAAACTGACACAAGAACAGAAAATCAAAC